CAGGGCACAGAGCCGTGCACACCAGCTGTATGTACCTCCCCTGAACCATCAAATGATTGAAAACGCTGCCCAAGTGTTCAGTGCTTAGAAATGGCTATGTTTACAACACGGCTTATTCTTATTTTAGGGTTGTCATAGCTACCTACTTGGTAACAAGCAACCAAGGTGTTTGTTACTATTAACAAATATTAGCTGATATTTGGGGTTTTTCAATCCAAGTAATTCTAATCCTTTGGTTGGGTGTTGGAATACATGAAAATAGGTATGAGTTAACAAGCAAAAGTTGCAAACGACAAATTTCAAGTGGCAGCCACATTTCCAGAGTAGACGGAGGGAGTGTCCATCCATCTGGGGGTGACTCTTAACAGTCACTCTTTCTGCATGAGTTTTTCCAGTTAGGACACAAAAGGGTACAGTCATCCTGAAGTGAGGGCTCCAGTCAACCAGAGCCCAAGCCCTTATTTTTCTTGGGGTGGATAAAGCTCTTGTCTACAGGATATAGTGAACTAATAATTTGGGAGTCAGTAAACAAGTGGTTTGGGGGTGTCCCAAGCAATTTGTCGACGTGAGAACAATTCTCACCTATTTTTCCTATTTATTTACGTCTTCATTTCACATTGTTTACTGTTTCTTTCATTTTCACACTTACTATTATCTTCTATGTTTTCCTATATTTTCAATTGTTGCAAAATACATATACAGTAAAATTTACCATAGCCATCTTAAAGGGTAGAATTCCATAGTGTTAAGTACATTCACATGGTGCAACAAATTCCCAGAACTTGTTCATCTTGCAAAACTGAAACTCTATGCCTATAAACAGCCCCTCCCCCTCAGCCTCTGGCAACCACCCTTCCAGATTCTGGGAGTTTTCACCACTCTGCACACTTCACATAAGTGAAATAATACGCTATTATCTTTTTGCGATTGGTTTATTCCACTCAGAATAAAGTCCTCACGTTTCCTCCATGCTGTGGTGTGTGATAGCATTTCCTTCCTTTTTAAGGCTAAATAATATTCCATTGTATGGACAGACCGCATTGTGTTTATCCATCATCTGTGAGGGACACTTAGGTAGCTCCTACTCACACCATGCATCTCAGATTGGGGCTTGAACCCATGTGCTGAAACTTAAACCTGGCCAAAATCTAGTTTGGGACTCAAACCCACATGGCCAGGACTTGGTGGTGGTGGTGGTTTAGTCCTAAGTCATGTCTGACACTTGCAACACCCTGGACTGTAACCCACCAGGCTCTTTTGTCCATGGGATTCTCCAGGCAAGAATATTGGAGTGGGCTGCCATTTCCTTCTCTAAGCGGATCTTGCCAACCCAGGAATCAAACCCAGGTCTCCTGCATTGCAGGCAGATTCTTTACTGACTGAGCTACGAGGCCAGGACTTTAACCTGCCCCAAACCCATGGTCCTCCAACTGAGATCATACACCTGGTTTCAGGACCTAATGAAGCTCAAGATCTGGATGTCTCATGGCGGAAAGAATTCAGTGAGAGACAAAGTGATAGGTAAGGAGTGGATTTATTTAAAGAGAAACACATTCCACGGACAGAGTGTGGGCCATCTCAGAAGGCGAGCATGCATGCTAAGCCACTTCAGTCGTGTCCAATTCTTTGCAATCCCATGGACTATAGCCCGCCAGGCTCCTCTGTCCATGGGGATTATCCAGGCAAGAATCCTGGAGTGGGTGACTGTGCCCTCCTCCAGGGGAATCTTCCTAACTCAGGGTTTGAACCCGTGTCTCCTATGTCTACCTGCATTGGCAGGCAGGTTCTTTACCACTAGCGTGAGAGCAGCCTCAAAAAGTGGTGTGGTTAGTTTTTATGGGTGAGGTAATTTCACACGCTAATGAGTGGGAGGATTACTTAAACTATTTGGGGGAAGGGGAGGAGTTTTCCAGGAATCAGGCCACCACCCACTTTTTGGCCTTTGATGACTGGCCTCAGGAATGGTCATGGTGCCTGTAGTTGGATCACTTAGCTTGCTGATGTCACAACAAGTGTATACTAAGGCTCAAGGTCAAGTCAATTCATTCTCAATCTTGGACCTATTTGGTTCTAATCAGCTTTGTCGTGTCCTCTGGCTATGTCATTCTTTTAAAGGTTGTGCCCTGCCCTCTTCCCTCCAGTTTCACTATCTTCTGGTTGTTGCAACCAGAACTTTGGTGTACCAATGTTTCCTCTAGACTCTGCTTTTCTTTATTTTTGATATATACCCAGAAGTGGAACTGCTGGATCATAGGGTAGTTGTATTTTTAAGTTTTCAAGGAACTTCCACGCTCTTCCCTACAGCAGCTATACCATTTTACATTCTCACCAACAGGACACCGGAACTCCAATTTCTCTACCTCTTTATATATATATATATATATATATAATATAAATATATATAATTCTCAGTCACCCAGTCTCTGGACCATAATGCTCTCCCTCTATTTTTGTGTCTCAAATCATAGCCTAATCTGAAACCCCCACGAAAAACTTTTTCTTGAGTTGCACTCAAGTTTTTTGAGAACAGCAGGTGGTCAGCTTCTCGAGAAAGCATTACCAGGCACCACCAAATGACTTTTCAGAGTTGAGAGCAGGAGTGAGGAGAAAGTCACTCAGTTGTGTCTGACTCTTTGAGACAGTCCATGGAATTCTCCAGGCCAGAATTCTGGAGTGGGTAGCCTTTCCCTTCTCCAGGGGATCTTCCCAACCCAGGGATGGAACCCAGGTCTCCCTCAATGCAGGTGGATTCTTTACCAACTGAGCTATCAGCAAAGCTAATAGGAGAGCAGGAGAAACAGGGTTAACTTAAGCTCCTTCACTCCAGGTCAGGCAACACCCAGCCCCACCTCCATCCCCAAGCAAATCTCCCCTCCCTCCTATTTGTGGTTGAGGACTTTGTTTTGTGTTAGGGGGGTTTAAGGTGTTTTTTATTAGGACCTTGATAACAACAGGGCTTCCCTGCTGGCTCAGAGGTTAAAGCGTCTGCCTGCAATGTAGGAGACCTGCGTTCGATCCCTGGGTGGGGAAGATCCCCTGGAGAAGGAAATGGCAACCCACTCCAGTATTCTTGCCTAGAGAATCCCACGGACGGAGGAGCCTGGTGGGTCCATGGGGTCGCAGAGTCGGACACGACTGAGCGACTTCACTTCACTTTGATAACAACACAAACAAGTCTGCGCCCACAGACCAACAAGAAAAGTCACTTTACGGGGCGTGTAAGGAAAGTTTAGGCAGCAGTGGTGAGAGACCACCATAAGCCTAGATACACCCCCCCAGGACAAGAGTGCCAGCCCAGGTGCGCCCCAGATTTGTGACTCTATTGGACAGCACATTTGGAATCCTCTAGATGACCAGCATAACCCTCTATTATTCCACGTGCCTGCACGTGCTTCAGTTGCATCCAACTCTTTGCAACCCTGTGGACTATAGCCAGTGAGGCTCCTCTGTCCAGGGGATTTCCCAGGCAAGAAGAGGAGAGTGGGTTGCCATTTCCTCCTCCAGGAGATCCCATCGCCTGCATTGGCTGGCAGGTTCTTCACCACTAGAGCTACCTGGGAAGCCCATTATCCCAGGAGGGTTATACAAATCTATGGGCCTCACACCTGGTGCAAATCGGGGGTGGGGTGGGGAGATTGGGGAGCGGGGCAGGGGGAGAAAGGTTTTTGTTTCTGCATTTCCAGATCGAAGAACGAGAGAGGTAGGTGGTAAAGTCTAAAACGTATGATGTCTATTACCAGTCTGTATGTACTTAACCCACTACTGGTCTCCTGGGCAAAACATAACTGGCCAAAAGTGAACCTCATATACTAAATATGGAACGCAGTAAAAATCGTGTTCATTCCCTTAAAGAACCAATTAAACCATTCCCCACCCCCACCCCACGCGAGATTTTAGCACCTTAGTTCCTCTACTAGGAATAGAACCCGGACCCCTTGCATTGGGAGCCCAGTCTCGCACTGGATTGAGAGAGAAGTACCCCCAATTTCCTTTTTTGATAGCTGAATCAGGTTTGTGTGGATCCACAAATTCATTAAAAACACAGAGGTTCATCTTCTGATTGCGGAATTCTTGGTTAGAGGAAGTTAAAATGAAACTGAAATCCTATCCTCTGAGTGGTTATTTAAAACCCGGGAGCCACTTCTAGACTACGGCATTTCATGATTCCAGCAAACACAGTTTATAAACGAACAGACATTTGCTGAAGCACTTTAAATCAAGCCCAATCGTCACTCTGTTTATCCAAAGGCAAAACTGTGAAGGCACACACGAATTCACTGTCAGTACAACTGGGCCCTTCACCGTCTAAGACACTGACAAAGAAGGCGACGGAGAGAAGGGCTTGGGGCGGCAGGAGGAGGCGACGCGGCGCAGCCCGGGGCTCCCGGCCGAGTGCGGAAGCGGAGGAAGTTGCGATGCGCAGGGACTCTAGGAGCGCACAGGCGGCGGTGTCTGGAAACACCCGGAACATGCTAGAAGGAAGTGGTAATGCCCAGATCCCCAGTGCGCACCGGGGGGCCGAGCTCGGCTAAGGGACGCGCGGACAGAGCGGAGTTTCTTCCCAGTTTACCGCACAAGGCTGGAGAGAAAGGAACCGTGGGAAGCTGCCCACCGGGGAGAACCGAGGGGGTGGCCGCACAGACGCGCCGCGGGGCCCCGGGGACGCAGGCACGGAGGGGAGCGGGGCGGCCCCCAGCCGGGATCTGGGAGGAGGGTCTTGAGGGGGGATAAAGGGAGCCAGCGGGAGGCTGGGCAGGGGGCGCGCGGGGCAGCCTCGGGCCGGAGGCGCAGAGTCCAGACGCGGGCCGGGCGTGGCCGGCAGCTCCCCGCGGGCGGCGGCGNGCCGAGCGCGCCGGGCGGGGAGGGCGGGTAGGGCGGCAGGAAGGACGCGCGGACGGGAGGAGGAGCGGCGCCGAGCCGGAAGGCGGGAGGCGCGTCCGTTGGGCCCGCGGCGCGGCCGGCCAGCCGCCTCGTCGCTCGGGCGGGAGCGGGGCCCGCGCCTCCTCCCCGGCGCCGCGGGGAGGAAGATGGAGACGCACATCTCGTGCCTGTTCCCCGAGCTGCTGGCCATGATCTTCGGCTACCTGGACTTGCGCGACAAGGGGCGCGCGGCGCAGGTGTGCACGGCCTGGCGGGACGCCGCCTACCACAAGTCGGTGTGGCGGGGGGTGGAGGCCAAGCTGCACCTGCGCCGGGCCAACCCGTCGCTGTTCCCCAGCCTGCAGGCCCGGGGCATCCGCCGGGTGCAGATCCTGAGCTTGCGCCGCAGCCTCAGCTACGTGATCCAGGGCATGGCCAACATCGAGAGCCTCAACCTCAGCGGCTGCTACAACCTCACCGACAACGGGCTGGGCCACGCGTTCGTGCAGGAGATCGGCTCGCTGCGCGCGCTCAACCTGAGCCTCTGCAAGCAGATCACCGACAGTAGCCTGGGCCGCATCGCCCAGTACCTCAAGGGCCTGGAGGTGCTGGAGCTGGGCGGCTGCAGCAACATCACCAACACTGGCCTCCTGCTCATCGCCTGGGGCCTGCAGCGCCTCAAGAGCCTCAACCTCCGCAGCTGCCGCCACCTCTCGGACGTGGGCATCGGGCACCTGGCCGGCATGACGCGCAGCGCGGCCGAGGGCTGCCTGGGCCTGGAGCAGCTCACGCTGCAGGACTGCCAGAAGCTCACGGACCTGTCCCTGAAGCACATCTCTCGGGGACTGACGGGCCTGAGGCTCCTCAACCTCAGCTTCTGCGGGGGCATCTCGGACGCCGGCCTCCTGCACCTGTCGCACATGGGCAGCCTGCGCAGCCTCAACCTGCGCTCGTGCGACAACATCAGCGATACGGGCATCATGCACCTGGCCATGGGCAGCCTGCGCCTCTCGGGGCTGGACGTGTCCTTCTGCGACAAGGTGGGGGACCAGAGCCTGGCTTACATCGCGCAGGGACTGGACGGCCTCAAGTCCCTGTCCCTCTGCTCCTGCCACATCAGCGACGACGGCATCAACCGCATGGTGCGGCAGATGCACGGGCTGCGCACGCTCAACATCGGCCAGTGCGTGCGCATCACGGACAAGGGCCTGGAGCTGATCGCGGAGCACCTGAGCCAACTCACCGGCATCGACCTGTACGGCTGCACCCGCATCACCAAGCGCGGCCTGGAGCGCATTACGCAGCTGCCCTGCCTCAAGGTACTCAACCTGGGCCTCTGGCAGATGACGGACAGTGAGAAGGTCAGGTGAGGGCGGCAGCACCCGTCCCCCCCCCNATTATACACACACACACACACACACACACACATGTCTGGCTACCTCGTTTTAGTTTACTTTTTTCTCTTTAGCCCTGGAGTTCTACAAGAAAAATGTTTTGAAACTGAAACACTTTTGTGCCTGGACTGGAAAGATGCCGATTGGGTTTGTACGTCTTTTTCGTTTTGGCTTCTTCCCAAACCCCATCCATCTGGTGTTTCCCACTTCACATTTCTGGCTCTTATTTTTTTTTTTCTCCTTGTCCCTAAGCATTTGAAGATCCAACCATGCTCCTAAATCTTGACTTAATTTATAGCACAAATGTGTGGGAGACATGAAAGTTGGACTGTTTTGTTTTGTCTGAGATGCAGATTGTGTCTTGAAAATGATGATTATATATGCAAAGTCTGCCCTGCCCTCCCTCTCTTCCACATTTCCCCACGAAAAGGTCACAGTGAGGCTTCCTGTAGGGAGCAGAGGAGCTGGAACTGGCACTGGCTTAGAGAGGCCCCGGGCCCTGGTGTGAAGGGGAGGAGACTGAAATTCATGTCTTATCTCTATTCTGTTAATAAAACAGGTGTTGGTGGGTTTTTAAAAATTCTGTTTCTAAATGGAGGAGTAAACGCCTTGCTTTATTTTGGTGGGGGTTGGGACTTGTGGCTTTAAAAAAAAAATCACTTCTGAGTAGGATGTATATTTTTATGTTGGAGTTTTTTGTTCCTTTTGTTTATTTTTTTAGAATCCTCCACAGCAACATGCGAGACCATGGAGTTAAAGAAACCCAGAGACCTTTATCAATTAATTGTACTGTTTGTGAATTTGTATAAATAATAACAAAGATCCTCTTAAAACATTTATATTCTTACAGTAAAAGGTTAAACTGATATTTATATAATAAAAGAGGAAATATGAAGTATGTTTTTTGAAAAAAAAAAGAAAAAAACCAAAAGCCTTGTATCTGTGAATTATTTTTAAGTCAGTGTGTGTGTTTGGGTCCAGGCCAAAGTAGGAGGTGGGTTTGCATCTCTGAAGTAAAAGTATAAGATGCAGGGTTCGGTGCAGCCTGTGTGGTGTGAGTAAGCTTGTGGTGAAAAATTTATCCTGTATAAAGTTTACTGCTGACATCTAAATGTTCTGTTGCTAGAAATGTGATTAGAATGGAGATTTATATCATTTCTGAACTGTCAACAAAATGGAAATTTAAAGAAACTGAACAAAATGAAACTTTTGTAAGAGTCACAATTCCACCAGGGTGGCCAGTTTTTCTCCACAAGGACATGAGACCTAGGGGAGATGTTCGAGAAATGGGTCATGAGATGTGGAAGTGGGAAGAAGGATGGGTTTTTGGCCCCTAGAGGGTGTGGGGGAGGCTGAGAGGGCGGGGCGGGCACCGGGGCCATTGTTGTTGGGAAAGTTAAGGGCACTCAGGCGAGCGAACTGAGCCTCAGAGGGAGCCCAGAGGGAGCCGTGGGCAGGGGAGGGGGGCACCGGGTCCCTCCTTAGCATTCTCCACCAGCGCCACTGAATCGGTAGGGAGGCGGGCCTGGAGTTCTTGCCCATTTGCATTTTAAGAAGGAGGTGGGCCTGGAATTTTCTTGTCCATTTGCATTTTAAGAAGGCGGGCACTCCATCCACTCTGGTGGGTTCTTACCCTGCACTGGGGCAGAATACCAACAATTCCAGCAAGGAGCTCCCTTTGGTAGACAATAACTAAAGTATCTGACACCCTGTGGTTGGGCTGTGGAAACAGTGTATATAGTGAGGCTGTTCATATTCCTGGTTTCACATAGGTCCGTCTGGTTTTAATACTGATCTCAGAAAACGCTGGTCAGAGCAGCACAACACTTTTCCTGGATCCACACCTCTTTCCAGGAAGAGAGCGAGAACCAGGTTTCTCTTGGGGAAGATTGTTTTGTAAAGTTTCCAAGCTCCCTGCTCAGGCTGATCACAAAAGCGGCATTGTTCCTTTTTGGAGAGCCTTCACAAGTGGGTCTAATGGAGCCTGACACTAGATCCATCTTCCTTTTCTTTGGGGAAGGTGTGGATCTATCCCTTTCCTCTTAGGTTACAGTGCTTACTGCCTAGGGAAAAAAATGTGTGAACCCTGGTGAGGACGAACTCTGAATCAGGGTCAGCTTTCTGATTCAGCATTTGTCTCTACAGCTCCCACAAGCAGCTGAGTTCTCAGACTGGTTTTCTTCTCCCAAGAGACTGCAGGGCTGTGCAGATTCAGCCAGTAAAAATCTGGGCACCTCCTAAGTCTTAGACTCTGTGGTCACCTCTCATTTAATACAAAAAGTAATCTGCCAACTATAACCGGAAGGTTTTTCTGCTGCTTCATTTGTTTTTTACTTTCAAAGTTAAATATAAGCTTGATTCAAGGCTGGTAAGTTAATGTTTGGAAGTTAAGATCGGGGGCCTAGTTCCTCATCCCAAGCTGGGCGTAGTTCAGAATCCATCTGGAGCGTCTCTGGCAAACAATGAACAAACCTCCTTCTTCCATCAGAGGCGACTGTCATCCCTCAACGTTTTGGGACGGAAAGAAAGGAATTGGGGTTGAGAACCTGTGCTGTGCTTTGCCTGGTCCTTGTACACATCTAGTCCTCAAAGTGGCCTGCTGAAAGGTACCCTCTTTTCCAGGTAAGAATACTGCTCTCCTTAAGTCAGCCAGCCACTGAGTCCAGGCCCTTTCTGCTCCCCAAGAAGGATCAACTACTGATTGCACCTTGGTTTCATGGAGGGCGACCTCCCAGAAGTGAGTGCTGGCTGCCTGAATCCAGGATGGACAAACTCAGGCCACAGGGCACCACTTGAAAGGGAGAAGTGGGTTTGGCCTCACCGTACCTACAGGAATAGAAGGGGATGCTTTTAAAGAAGAGCATCACTTAGAACTCGAGTGGATATGTCATTTGTGGGTGGTATACACATTAAGAGGCACTGCAGGGCAATTTTTAGAATAACAAAAAACCTGGCTGGGTGTTTGCGGAAACTTCAGAACTGACAAACCAAAATAGGAACTTAGTGTCAACCTTATCGTCTAGAAGCAACAAACCTCAGTAGGAACTGTCTGGGTAGCAGTCAGGAAAGGGTTCCCCTGCTTATCCACAGCTCATGGGGCAAGAGCAAACGTCTGCTGAAAAGATGACCTAAGCGAGGGCGGGGTTCAGGCAGCACCTGAAGCCCCTCCAGGACCAGGACAGGCCCCTAGCTAAGAGTGCTGGGTATCCCGGAATAACTCCCCTCCTCGGATTCCTTCCTGCACAATTCCTCCATCCTAAGGTGCAGGGGTGGGGGCCGGGGGGGCCTACTTGATTCATTCCGAGTTTGGCAGCAATGACAAGGATGCTTGCTCAACTTAAGGTACAACCTTAAATAGTTCAGAAAATTCAAACTGATCATATGCTTTCATGATTCAAATCAGCCAACAGAGATCTGAAAAAGCAAAGGTTCCTTTTATGTAAGTTTTTGTTTTTGTTTTTTTAGGCTACGTCAGGTCTTACTTGCACCATACATGCGCTTAGTTGCTCCGAAGCATGTGGGATCTTAGTTCCCTGACCAGGGAGACCAGGGATTGAACCCACATCCCATGCATTATTAGCAAGGCAGATTCTTAACCACTGGACCAGCAGGGAGGTCTCAGCAGTTTCTTTTTAAAGCTAAGAGCCTTCTCTTAAACGGAGACATATGATATGCAAACTAAAGCTCAGCCTTTCCCCCTCACCCGACCACTTTACCACAGTGGCTACTAGACAGGTACTGATCTCCAAATATTAGTAAAATCTTTTCCTTCTGACCTAGAGAATTTGAGCTCAGGTTTTCAAAGCTGGAGAAGAGGGTCAAGGACCCCAGGGAACACCGTGTTCACAAAAAATTTGTGCTGAGTCGTGTCTAACTCTTTGCGACCCCATGGACTCTAGCCCTCCAGGCTCCTCTGTCCATGGGATTTCCCAGGCAAGAATACTGGAGTGGTTGCCATTTCCTCCTCCAGGGGATCTTCCCAACCCAGAGGTAGAACCCCCACCTCCTGCAATGGCAGGCAAAGCCATTTTGAAGCCCAAAGAATTTTGTTGTTTTTCAATCACTAAGTTATGTCCAGCTCTTGGTGACCCCATGGACTGTGGTATGCCAGGCTTCCCTGTCCTTCACCATCTCATGGAGTTTGCACAAATTCCTGTCCACTGAGTCCCTGATGCTAGCTAACCATCTCCTCCTCTGCTGCCCTCTTCTCCATCTGCCTTCAATCTTTCCCAGCATCAGGGTCTTTTCTAATGAGTTGGCTCTTCACATCAGGTATCAAAGTATTGGCACTTCAGCATCAACCCTTCCAATGAATATTCAGGGTTGATTTCCTTTAGGACTGAGGAGTTTGATCTCCTTGCAGTCCAAGGGACTCTCAAGAATCTTCTCCAGCACCACAATTCAAAAGCATCAATTCTTCGGTGCTCAGCCTTCTATATGGTCTCACATCCATACATGATTACTGTAAAAACCATAGCTTTGACTGTAAGGACCTTTGTTGGCCAAGAGATGTCTCTAATTTTTAATACACTGTCTAGGTTTGTCATAGCTTTCCTTCCAAGGAGCAAGCGTCTTTTAATTTCATGGCGGCCGTCACCGTCTGCAGTGATTTTGGAGCCCGAGAAAATAAAATCTGTCACTGTTTCCACTTTTCCCCTTTCTATTTGCCATGAAGTGATGGGGCCGGATGCCATGAATAACACCCTCTTATTAAGAGATCAGATTTGTAGCCAAAACCCAGACTGCATACAGCTTCTGACAGCAGCCCCTCTGCTCCCAGGGCCCTTCTGTGGCCACAGGGCCAGTAGTCACCTCTCTGCTGCCCCTCCCCCTGCATCAGTTGTCACCTCCTTTAAAAAGCTAATTCTGTGCCTTTACTAGAGGGTAAGACCTAAACTGTGTTTAGGGCCACCATGACCCACGAGGAGTCAGGGCTGGGGCTTTGTGGATCCTGGGAAGCACAGGATTAGAAATAAAAAAAGCCAGTGCCCAGGCCACACCTCTGTCTCATCTTGTTGAGGTCCTTGTTCAGAATGGGGAGCAAGTGACAGTTTTTGAAAAGTGAATGTCAGACAGAGAAGACCTCATATTTGGATCCGTGCCAACTATTAACAATTTAGAATGTCTCCAGGGTGAGTGCACAGCTGGGAGAAGAGTGGACACTTAGGTCTCGGATAGAAGACGGGTATTTCCAGACATCGCACCTTTAAATGTCCACACTGGGTCAGTGTCAGCCCTTTCCTCTTTTCCAGGAGTGGCTCTGACATTGCCTGCTGGAGCTGCCTGTACTGAGTGCTGGGTACCACACTCAGCTGCTCCTCCAGTCTAGGGGCAAGACGGAGTTGGCCAAGAGCAGGAGACACAGCCCCAGGTGGGGTATGTTAACACCACCCTCTGCAAGGAAAACAGAATCCACGCGGAATTTCTCTACCTCCTGTATGTTAACACAGAAATGTGCACATACTTTCTTAAAAGAAGACTTAAAAGCATTTTATGAGCTCGTCACCCTTCCACTCTGTGTAAGCAACAAATGCCCCTTGTCCCTGTGTGTGCACTTTCATCTGTGAGTGTGAACAGCCTCTGGGTCACACATGCCGGGTAGGATGTGGATGCCGCCCCCGGATGCACGGAATCGGGACCCTGTGTGGCTTCCCAGTCTCACAATTCCTGTTTTCCCAAATCTGGTAGATACCAGACATTTCATTTTAGAAATGGGGAAGGAGGCTTGACGAGGGTGAAAGACTGTGCCCAGGTGTCCGCCCCAGGCGTTCCCCATCAGCGAGGAGGCCTGTCCCCAGCCAGCGGGAGCCAGATCCTGGTTGTTGAACTGTTGCTAAGCAACACCAGACACCCCGGTCCCACTTCTGAAGGAGCTGAGCTAGGGAACATTACTTTCACCTGGAGGAAGCACTCCGAATGCTGAAGGTTTTGTGTTTTGGTTTTTGGGCCCCTCCACATGGCATGTGGGATCTAAATTTCCTCCAGCAGGGATCGAACCCATGCCCCTTGCAATGGAAGCATGGAGTCCTAACCATGGGGCCACCAGGAAAGCCTCCTGAAAGTTATTATTACCAGTTAATAAGTATTACACTGTGCAGACTCAAACGCTGTGTCCCGCGTTTTGCAAGGAGCTGGAAAGCTCGTGTAAGGAGTTGGTCCATGGGTTTAGGGTACCTGGTCCCCCAGTCGGTCCCCCACTGTCCTTCAGCACATGAGCCAGCCCCCCAGCACTGCTGCATCACAGACACTGCAAACACCTCACTGAGAAGTCACAGCCCAACACACTACACACTCCCGGGCAGCCCGACTCACAAAGAACTGAGCTGTGGGAACATGGCTGTGTTCTCACTACTCAAGGATCAATGTCTTGACTTTCCAGGTGTTTTACCTACAGATCCCTTTTGTCTTGAAAGAGTAAAAGGGTCTACTATGCTCCCATTGACAACCACTTCTGTCTCCCACTCCTTGGTGGACGTAACCAGGCTCACAGTGCTGGCGGAGACCATTCCCACCCCCACTCCACCCCATATCAGGGTCTGAGCAGTGGGAATGGCACCTCAGGGAAAGAGTTGAGTCCAGATTCATTTTTTATAACTAGCGTGAAGTTATTCCACATGGTTTGGGAAGCATTGTTTTCCTGGTCTAAAAAGATCAGGAAACTATCTACTACAAATGCCTGTAATAACGTTTCTCCTTAGGAAATCTTTACCCCAAACTGGCAGTTTTATATGGACACACGTGCACAGTTGTGTTGGAATAGCTACTGACTTCCATTCTGCTTTTTGAGAAGCAGTCTCTAAATAGAAAGGAACCCCCAGACTATTACTGATACTCCTCAGAATCTTTAGTAAAATCACTGAGGCCAAAATTGGACAGATGGGTAAAATAGGGGAATTGTAACAGCTAACCACCTCAAATTCTTGGCCTTCTCAGATGGAAGACAAGCTAACTATGGCTTTCAGGAGACATAAGAGACTTGGGTTCGATCCCTGAGTCAGGAAAATCTCCTGGAGTAGGAAATGGCAACCCACTCCAGTATTTTTGCCTGGAATATCCCCATGGAAAGAGGAGCCTGGTGGGCTACAGTCCAGGGGGTCGTAAAGAGTTGGACACGACTGAAACAACTTAGCACAGCACATTTTAAACTTTTAAGTTCATGGTTCAAACCCTACTGCTATGAACTACCAAAAAGAAAAGAAAAAAAAAGGGGTGGCCAGCAAGTGTGCCTTGAGCAAACTATATGAAAATACCTAATTAAAGTGACAACTTCTAGCTCTTCTAATTCGTTTCAAACGGACAATCTTTAGAATCTTTAAGAGATCTGTGAAAACAGGCAGGCTGAGTTCCATGGTCTGAACTTTGTCAAGCTCCCAGTTTGCTGCCATTGGAAGCAGAGAAAGGCCTTGGGGAGTTTTGAGCCCAGACAGGATGAATGACTGGGCTTTCCAGCTCCCTGAAGTCCAGACACATGGTGTCAAGGGGCGACAGAGCAGCATTTGACCCACAGGAGAGGCAGCTGGTCTATCTTTCCGCTCAGCAGGATCACACGAGGACCATTGGAAATGCAGTCCAGTAAGCAAGCACAGGGTTGAGCAGCAACAGCCTCGCCCCTTCTTGCTTCAGAATCAAAACCATGTCCATATAAGTTAGGAGACAGGTCACGGGTGGCCCCTTGTGAAACGCAGGGGTGGAAAGTCGTTCTCTCCTCCTGGGTTGCTCCTGGACCTCCACCCCCGTCCCCCAAACCCTCTCCCACCCGTTCACCCTCCCCACTGGGGTGCGGCCCTGGGCCGTGTCCACACCAGTGTCAGAGCCGGAGATCTGACCTCATGCTTTCCTTTACCCCAAGTTCACTAGGATTCACTGGAGGGCAGAAAAGTAAAGTACCCTTCATTCAAAATTCTGTGTATTTGTTTTCTACGTGGAGACTTCGAGCGTCTCCTGTGAGCTTTGCGTCCCGCCAGCAGGTGGCAGCGTTGTCTGTGAACTGCGGCCGGTGCCCAGTTCCGAGCACCCCACAGAGGACTTCAGAGCGGAAGAACCTCAAGCCTCCAGAAAGATGAAACGGAATTTTCCAGTTTCAGCGGGGTCAGGGATCCCCGTCCTGGGCACGCCGTTCGGAAGCAGGTATCAGATGCGCCCTGAGGACGGTTCCCTGATGTCGCTGGTGGGAACCAAACATCACTGTCTAACTTCAGTTTAAGACCATCGCATACAAATCCTGTAGATTGGCGTATTCAAGGGGTTGGGGAGAACAACTTGGGAAAATGTTTACTCTCATACGTGGAAATATCCATTTTAACAGGAGGAGCAAGGGTGCTGGCTTTTTTCAACTACAAAAATAGAAAAAAATAGAAGTGTACTGTTTGTGATGAAAAATTCTAGAGCTCCTTGGAAAAGAAACAATTGTTTTAAAATTTGGGGAGTGTCAATTCTTAGTTTTTTTGTTTTTGTTTTTAATTAAAATAAGTATCTTCTAAAGGAACCCATGAACGTGAGAACGATTAAACGCCCTGATAAAGCAGTGAGGGTCTCGCATTCCTAGATTCCTCCTGGGGAAAACAGGCATTAGGAAAAGGCAGCAGAAATTAAGACAAGGAGAAAGAACCTCTGAGTCAACCTGGCCAGATTCCATAAAATGCCACACAAGGGACAGGCTGGGGGCTCCTGCCATTTTGGTCTTGATCGTCTGGCCGCAGCAATGGAAACGAGGCTCCGAAGGGCGGCTGGTGCAGACGTGGAATAAAAGCGTGGAAGGCAGGAGGTGGCCGTGCTTCGCCAGGCTAGCCCAATGAGGCTCGGCCCCCAGCATGGTGACATCAAGGTGGTTTTTGGTTAGGAAATGGGAGAAGAGAAAGGAGAAGTTTCTGGAGCTCAGGGTCCAGGCCTGCAGCTAATTACCACTCCTCCCAGCGAGAAGGCTAAACGAAAGCAGAAGCCCTCTGGGCAGCTCCATGGACTCTCAGGCTGAAATACATCACTGTCAGCGACCCGCAGACACATAGATTCAGGGAAAGAACTCAGAGAAAAGAGGACACCGATCACTCACATCAAGCAGAGGGGATGAGGTGAGGTAAGGGTGGGGGGACTACCAGCCTGGTCCCCAAGAGGGGCTGGGGGTGCTCAGGGTCACCATCTCCCCAGAAGAGGCTGGAAGCTCGGGTTTTCAAGAAGAGAGGCCTTCTTCTCTGGTTGTGTCAAATCAGACCCCAGACAAAAATTCCAGCTACCAGTTCTCAGGCTAGGACTTAAGTGATAGGTCCCCCTGTGAGGTCGTGGGTCTCCTTGTAAGGTGGGGGGCCCCCGCTGTGAGGTGAGGGGTCCCTCTGTAACGTGTCAAGAGTGAAGTCGCTCAGTCGTGTCCAACTCTTTGTGACCCCATGGACTGTAGCCTACCAGGTTTCTCTGTCCATGGGATTTTCCCGGCAAGGGTACTGGAGTGGGTTGCTATTTCCTTCTCCAGGGGATCTTCCCAACCCAGGAATCAAACCCGAGATTCCCGCATTGCAGGCAGACTCTTTACCCTCTGAGCCAAAAGTGTTGGGTCTCCTTATAAGCTGGGGGGTCCTCCCTATGAGGTGTCGGGACCCCTGTGAGGTGAGGGGTCCTCCTTGTAAGGTATTGGGTCTGCCTGTGAGGTGAGGGGTCTCCCTGAGAGGTGTCGGGTCCCCCTGTGAGGTGTTGGGTCCCCCTCCCAGACCTCAGTCATTGCTGTCCCCCTCCAGGCTGTCACTGTCGTCAGGACGAAGGTCGCCCCATCCTGCAGGGAAAATCAGCCGGCCTGACAGCGTCCTAGGGATGTTGTGATGGCCCCTTGCATCCTGAGGCTCCGCTGGCCTGGACTCTGACCCTCAACCCCCAGGAATGGGGCCTCTATGCTCTGTTCTGCCTGCAAAGGTCTGGCCGGCACGCGAGTCATCCTTCCGTCCCTGGCCCGGAGACCCCAGCACAGTGAGCAAAGCCAGGCGGCCGCACCCGCTGTGCACACATCCCTCGGCTCCCTCTGTCCGCTCCTTCCTCCCCACAAAACACAGGGGCCACGCGGCCAGCACTGGCCCTTTGAAGTGGTCCAGCCGGGCCGCCTGCTCCCTGACTCCGTGGAGATGGTGACGGGGGTGCAGGGCACACAGTGGGCATGACCTGGAGCAAGCAGGTCCCTCCGTGCAAGTGCCACAGCCTCTTACCACCCCCTGATCCTGATGCCTGGAGGGAGAGCCCCACAAGGACCCCCCACGCCCAGGGGTCGGTCCCCTCTCCCCCATCCGCTCCTCCCCCTGCATCTGCTGGGGACCTCACGGGGCTGCCGAGGAGGCCCTGTGGATAAGTGGCCGCCAACACCTTCCCGCCCTCCCGGAGCCCGGCCCAGCCCTCTGGTGCTAATCCACGTGCAGCGCGGCTCAGCAGCTCCGCTCCCCTAAGCCCCTGATAACGGTTTTACTAAAATCCTCTTTTGATGGAAAAAAACCCCAGCTGGACATTTCAGGCCTCGCACAATGTCCAGGCCTGCGGGTCCCCTTCCCACTTCACAAAGGCCTCTAATCAAGTGGAAAATGTGCTGGAGGCCAGAGGTTGGCTCTGCAATTATTTTTGAAGGGATTACGGAGAAGAATAGGGGCAGCGAGGCCCTCCCCGCTTTGTTTCCCACTGGGTCCCCGCTGGAGATGCAGGGGGCCAGTGGCAGCCGCCCAGGGTCTCAACTCTCCTTCCCCGGAGGAAGGAGGGCAGCTTTGAACACCATGACTTCAGGGAGACGGGGAGAGGCTGGAAGCAACATGCAGGCCCTATTCTGACCCCCGTTTAAGCCCCTATTTATGAAGCCACGGTGGGGTGGGCTCCCGTGTGCGGGGAGAGCCCT